CTCACTCTCTGCCCCTCTCCTCGACCGCCCCAAAGCATCCTGGATCCTTGGTGCCAACTGTGAGCGACTGTCAAACTGTACCCCTCCCCCTCTGTGCCCCCCCCCCCCCCCTTCTCCCTTACAGCAGCCATTCACTCTCCCCCCCTGACATCTACTGACTTGTCTGAGGGGGCAGATTCAAACAATAAGCACTTTAGTGTTTGTTTGTTTGTTTGTTTGTTTGTTTGTTTGTACATGACTTTGTCAAAAGTAGACTCACTGATGAAGTCAGTGCAGTTCTTTAACGTTAGCAGCTGAAGTGCCATGTAATGTGATGGATAGAAAAGCGAAGGCAGGATAAAGAGATGGTTTATTACAAGGCAGCGAGAAAAGCCCGGGAGTGTTTTGGACTCACTTCAAATCATGTACTGCAGCAGGACTGCAAGGCTCATATGCTCCTGTCAAGATACCTTTGGGTCGCCCTCTTAAAGTGATTTAGTAGCTGGTGTTTGCGTGCACATATGCGTGTGTGTATACGTGTGAGTGTGTGTGACACCACAGAGAGTCACAGGTCAGTAAGTCTGTGTCCGTCAGCGTAAAGTTTACAGTATGTATCAGCACTGGTGCAAAATCACCCGAGTTTCACATCGCTCTTCAAGCCTCCAAAACAACTTGGCTGAACATGGAGGAGAGTGTTTGCCTGTGTGTGCATGCTCTCTCACATGTGCCTGTGTGTGTGTGTGTGTGTGTGTGTGTGTGTGTGTGTGTGTGTGTGTGTGTGTGTGTGTGTGTGTGTGAGAGTGTGAGTCTGTGTGCCTTTGGGCTGCAGAGGAGGGGGAAAGTGGGGGAAGTGAGGTTGTAGCTGGAGCACCTGTTCCGTCGATTTGACAGACAGGCCGGTGTGTGCTGGTTCAGCAGGTCATAGAGGGGGGAGACACAGAGGGGAGGTAGAGAGGGTGAGGCAGAGGAGACAGCGAAAAGTTGGACAGGAAGGGGAGGGTGCAACACGTGGGGGAGGTTCTTTGCGAGGAGGACAGGAAGAGAGCCGGAGCCGACGGGGGAACAGGGGAAAAAAAGGAGGTTGCTGCCATTTTATCTGATGTGGAGAGAAAGACTGTGACATCAAGATCCACTAATCAGAGAACATGGAGCAGAGATAGCACTGTTTGGCCCAATTACGGTTGCTATGGAACAAAATGGAACAACTAATGGAACACAAAATGAACAGGAACCTTAATTTAATACATGGTTATAGACAGACGGCTCTTTCAGGTGCCATTTGCAAAGTACATCTGTGTTTTTCATCATTATAAAGTCTCACCTTTGACAGCTTCCCCTCTCATGCCCCGTAAATGCATTTCACACACACGTCACAAACACATATATAAACACTGACAGCACTGACAGTATGGCACATTATTGTAGGAAAGGTGATGTAATTGCTTTTTGCTCTGGTTCCCCACCACAGCTACAGCCTCTCCTCTACAGCCGGGACTCCCTTTCTGATTAACACCTGTTAGCCTCCTTCTTTCTCTCCCACCCTCCCACTCCCTCGCTTTCTCTCTCTGACACACACACACACACACAGACTCCATAGTGTTAATCCTGCACTGTGTCTGGTGAGCGAGGAGGCTTGCACGCTGTTAACCTTTCCCTTGTGAAATATCATATTTCTCTGTGTAATTCTGGGCTCAGTAATCTTTTCATAGGACCTTGCCCTCACATGAGATACACAGGCCAGAAAGCATAACATTGCCTGGAATAAAAATATACTCTGCATCTGCATAGGTGATTTCATATTTATGGCTCCATCTACAGAGTTTGAATGTAGATCCAGCTCTCCCCGAGGCTCACTGTCTTCTGCTTTTCACCGTGGTGTAAGTATCCTTCCACCATTTGAGAGAGCTGAGAGACAGCATGGAGAATGAGCCAGTGCGTGCAGCACATCATAGGTGTAAGTGTGCCCTCACATGGCTGAAGTGTGCAATGACAAGCCACGCATGATGGACCAAAAGGAGAAAAAAAAAAGCAAAAAAAAAAGCACCCATGGTTAGTTTAGCTTCCCATCATTTTGGCTCTCAGTGGCAATAATGGGACGTCTGTGATGCAACAAAGCGGATACACAACAAACATATCAAAGTACCGAATGTATCAAAGAGAATAAAAAGCTGAAACATACCAGTCTAACACACTTCATTACATCTGCTGCCTCTCTCTGGTCGTTCATCACTGAATCTATTCTCGTCCCTCTCTCCACTCCTCCTCTACCTTTATCACTTCAATCACTTGGCGATGTGCCTTGTGCCACTCAGAAGGCCTGCTGCCCGTTCCACTTCACGCAACACAAACACACACACTCATGGACACACACACACACGCACACACACACACTCCACAGATTTCTGTCCTCACTCCGTCCGTCATCCATCTGTCTGTCAGTCACTGCACTTTGAAGCTCTGTGCAATCTGGATAGTTACCAACCCCGCACACACACACACACACACACACGCACACACACACACTGTACTATACACACACATCTCCAGCTGGACTGCTGATCTCACACACTTGGCCGGCTGAATATTCATCATCATCATGCACTAAGGACCTTGTAGGCTCAGCGATGCAACAGCCCAGTGGTATCAATTAGGGGACCAGAATCTGTTTTGTGTCAATTTATTCTTTTTTTTCCTGACAGAACAGCATTGATTTAATGGCTGAATCCTCGGAGTGACCTTAACAATATGTTGGTAGCACTTCAATGAGCTTCTACATCCTGAAGGTTAAGAGGAGTTGTTAGTGAGGAGACCATCTTTTATGGAGTAGTGGAGTTAATGGTCTCATTGCCTTGCAGGGTATGGTAATGACTGTATTGAGTGGGTAAAGTCTTCTATTGTGCTATATGTATTTTTTGTAACATGATATCAACAGACAACATATAATGATACAGTCAGACTAAATAACCCAGGGGGATATTTGTCTTTGGTACCCTGTGGAATCTATTCCTCAGTGAATACACCGGGCATGTTTGATGAAGAGTAACACAACTTTATTTACATATCATGTGGAGACAAGCTGAAGAAAATGCTGATGTGGGGCTTTCACACAGTATCTCGTTAATATTTGCAGGCCAATATTTTGCAGAAAAATAACTGAAGAAATTTTAAAAAACAGAACTATTAATATTTCCAGTGTTTTACAATTGTTTTACATGAACTTCATGAAAAAGGCACCAAAACTAGATAAAATCACTCTCTGCTGTATTTGTGAGTATAATTGGTAAAACAATATTTTTTCATAATGCTGAACTGTTGGACAATAATGTATTGAGTGGTTATGTTGGTATTTTGGGTTCCTTGGAGCTTTATATTTTTGTTAAATTCACAAAATGTAAGATATATAGCTTTCTTTGCACCGACAGAAATGAATGCATAAAAAGTTCGCAAAAATTAACCAAAATTAATCTGGAAGTATTTCAGCATAGTGATGCAACAATCCTGTAAATCCAGTATCACCATAAACAAGACATGCTCATGTATTTGCAACCTCGCCCACAGTGGCACAAAACACCTGGAGATATTCAAGAATATTCCTCCTCTCCATACTACCTGTTACCTTCCTACAGCTACACACTCCAAACCCTGAGGAGATCCCCTCCTGACATGGCTCCAGTAGAAGAGATGTGGGTTAAAGGTCAAAACAGTTCTTTTATTGTGCAAAAATGATTTCTGAAGTTCAGCTGAAGCTAATATGAGGTTTTAGTTAGTCTCAGTCTGACTCCCTCCATGCAGTGTTTCCTTGTTGACTTGTGGCAGGAGGGAAGAAAAATACTGAGTTAATTTTGACTTTTTTTTACTTGTTTTGAAAAACTCAGAGTGTTATTAGACTCATATTAGCTTCACATGAATGGGTCACTTCAATCGAAATCACTTTAGGAAGGGATCTTGCCGCAGCCAGCATGTGGACAGGAGAAACAATTACAGCGACTAACACAACTAATAAACTGGTCCATTAAATGTGTAGCTATCTTACAATAAACGGCGACGCAGTTGATAATGTGACATAGTATATATTGCCATATTGTCGAAAAACAATGTTTATTCTATTCAACAGTGCTATTTATAAATTGTCTGTAAGTCTTTTTCATAACTAAAGACACTCCGTCTGTGAACAACACGGATTGTTAAAGATAAAACAGATAAAGTAAAACATGCATTAGACGCGTGTTTTTATGGTTGTACTGGAGCAAATACTTTCCTATCTCAAAAACCAGACCGTCTCTCAGCAGACTGCTCGGTTAACCTTTGCTCCTGACTCTCTCTACGCCTCTCTCCTTCCACTGACCCTCTGGAAAGGTGTGTTTGTTGTTTCAAACTAAAATACAATGGAGTTCAGTGCAGGCCTTTCAGCATGCCAAAGCGTTTCTGTCCGCACAATGGCCAGAGCAGAAGTAAGGAATGGGGCAGCCATGAGGACCCAGTTAGGTCATTTGAGCGATACAGTATTTAATAACTTATCTTGAGCTTAGCTCTGTTAGGCTTCCTGGCTTAAATGGAGCAGAAAATTGAGAGAGTGCAAAAAACAGAGGACTGTCTTACAAACTCAATTACTCCCTGGAGGCAGTCCAAGTGGTCAGTTTGCATGCACCAGCAGATATATATCAGGTATCTTTTCTCTTTTTTTTCCTTCACAAAGATCCATGGAAAGTCTCATCTTCTGTGATTAATGTGGAAAAGAGAATAAGTTCAAATCAGCAGAGAGATATGGACCCTGTCCCTAGTGATCATTATCAACACGAGTCATATGTTAAAGTAAAATCCTTTTTGTGAAAAACCACATTAAATATACTTAGATTCTTTTAACATCTGTAAGGAGGAGACACCAAAGTGGAAGCAGCCTGAAGTAAAACAGGACAAAGATTGAGTTACAGTTTACAGTCAAAATTTAATTCAAATAAGTTAACATAATTCACATAAAACAAAAGAATCTGAATATAGTGTTTATGTTAGAATAACTCAAACATTTGGTCAAACTCTTACATGATATGGATTAAATACATAAAATCGACAGCTGCAACAAAAAGAGTAAGCATCTTCATTCACAATGTAAAAAAAAAGTGAGTATTGAGTTCAAATAAAACAAGTGCAAATGACTCACAGTGTCTCTGACGGTAAGAAAGATAGATTACATCTTTCACATAAGATAGTGCAGCTCTTACAAATAGTACTCTTTATATATACACAAGTAGAGCAGAGAATAGTCTAGAGTAAATAAATTATCCTTCTTTTCTGAGCACTTCAGGGTTTTATCAAGGATTGTATGTGAAAGCAACTTCATGGGGGCAGGTTAGCGGTCTAATTCATATTTTGACCTCACATAAAAACCATGATTTCAAGCATGAGCTTTCCCTTTTTTATATGCAAATTTTTTCATATGGGAAAACTAATTGTAAATCATATGTGACTTTGAAGGCTGTATTTTTGGCCCATTGAATGGAATGGGAATAATATACATTCATATAAATAAATTACCATTAAAAACATTGAAATAAATATTGCAAGTGCTCCCTTCTTTGAATGTAAATTAATGAGGAAAGTTTAGTGTCTAATCATAGTTAGATATGACCACCCTGTGCCAACACGTCTCTCCTAACTCCCTTCACTTCGGAGTCAAACTCTTTAAGTTTCCATTTCAGACTCTGAGTTATCCAAGTTAGACACAGTGGAGCTGTACCATTCTGCGCTCTCCTCTTCCTCCTGCACTCCAGATACACCGCCGCCTCCTCTGTCCCTCCTCTCATTCAGCATCTCCATGGCCACTTGGTGGTAAGGATGTTTGCGTTTGGTGTGTCGGCGTAGCGTGTTGCGCTCGGCGAAGCGTGTGTGGCAAAGTTGGCACTGGTAGGGTTTCTCTCCGGTGTGCACCCTTTGGTGGCGCTGGAGCTCGCCGGCCTCCCTGAAGCGTTTGGCACAGATGGGGCACACAAAGTTCCTCTGGCCTGTGTGGATGTGCTTGTGTCTCTGTTGAGCAAAACAGTAAATATCTTAACACTTATTAAAGCAGCTATAATCAATAGTTTTATTGAGTGCTCCTTTGTGAAAGGGATCGCTGAACATACAGAAAATTACCATCCCACCCAGCTCTATGGAGATAAACAGCAGCTTTCAAAGCGTTGTTGGGATTTTCCAGCAGCTTTACTGTTTTGGTTCACTCTCCGCTGCTCTCATTGCATCATTGTGACAGAAACCCCTACCTGCCCGGCGCCAAATTCATCAGACAAATGACTCCAGATGACTGCTAATGTTGCACTGCGTGTGCTGCATGTGTAAACAGTAATATAAATAATTATTACTATTAATATATAAATAACTTTTTCTGACAAGTAAACCATATCAACTGAAAAGTGTGTCAGAATTATCATTGGCAGACAGAAAAAGAATCGGCTATTTTGATAATCACTTAATCATTGTAGTAATTTTTCAAACAAAAATGTGAAATATTTACAGGGTCTAGCTTCTTACATGTGAAGGTTTTCTGTTTTTCTCTGTTTCATATCAATTGGAAAGTGAATCTCTTTGGGTTTTGGACAGCTGGTTGAGACAAAGCCAGTCGATGGAACAGGTCCGTTTTGGCTCGGGGAAATTGTGACGGGCTTTTTTCCACTAATTTCTGAATCGATTAAGTGATTAAACTAGAAAAATTCTGGCAGATTAATCAATGATGAAAATAATTATTACTTGAAGTCCTACTTCACAGCTTGTTTCTGCTGCTCCCAAGTGGCCAAGAAATTACGTAACTGTCACTGCACTAATAATTTGTGACATTTGTTCAAGTGACTTCTGTTATTACCAATGCTGCTAATGAAATAAAAGTTATAATTAGCCGACACTGACCTGCAGATGGCTGGAGCGTTTGAAGGCTTTGCCGCACTGCTGGCAAACGTGAGGCTTCTTCTGCGAGTGAGTGATGGCGTGGCGCTCAAGGTCGGAGAGGTAAAAGAAGACCCGCGGGCACAGCTGGCAGTACAGCACCCTGCGAGAGCCCATGTTGTTGGGTGACGCCGCTGGAGAGAGAGGATCCAGCGGGTCGAGGGGGTCAAGTTTGCCAGAGGAGAGTAAGGGTCCAATGGGAGGGGAGGGTGGAGCAGCCGTGTTTGAGAAGTAAAGATGGTCATCCAGAGGTAAGTGTTCTGAGTGCAGGTCAGAGGGGTCAAATTTGGGCTCTGAGGCTGGTGACTGGGCTTCTGCCTCTGAGCTAGGCTGAGTTAAGGGGTCATAGGTCAAACTAGCAGATTGTGGGTGCGGAGACGATGCTATAAAAGCTGATGGCTTGTTGTTGTCATTTGAGACTTCTTCAGCAGGTATGGCTTCACTTCCAGGGTTTGAATCGGAAGAGCTGATCTGAGTTTGTGTGATGGGAGTCATGCTGTGGTCATTCTGGAGAGCAGGAGTGGACGAAGGGACAGAGAGAGAGGTGAGAACAGACCCGGAGTTTACGTTATTCACTCCAGACAGGATAACAGGGGGATCATTGGCACCCAGTCTGATGACGGGGTGAGACAGCGTGTGCAGAGGGGATCCCAGTGTGCTGACCTGACCAGAGGACAAAGGGAGGGAGACCGGGGCTGATGCTGCAGTGATCTGGGACAACTGACCTGTGGACGGGTCGAGGACAGCGATAGGAGTGGAGGTAGCGGCAGAGTCACCAGAGGCAGAGGGCACAGAGGAGAGGAGAAGAAACATGGGGGTGGAAGCGCCAGGTGAGGTCTGAGTAACAGAGAGGGGAAGCGAGAGACCCACCGGAGAAGAGGAGAGCTGAGGAGAGGAAGAGGAGGACGACAGGAGGAGAATGGGAGCACTGGTTGAAGGGTTTGTGAGGATCTGGATGGGCTGGCTGGGGACTGATATCCCAGAGGAAGGGGACAGAACTGCGTTAGCCTCCTGAACAGCTTTAATGCTTGGCTCTGCAGCCTTTGAGGGATCTGAGTTAGTGACCAAACTCATGAAGACGTCTGGAGCTTTTGTCTGATCGACACCTACCGATGGTGAATCAGTGTCAGGGGCTGGTGAGGAGTAAAGATCATCAGAAGGTGCATTTAGTGCATTATCTAAACTTTGGCTGAGGCTAGGATCTGCCGACTGCGACGACCCCTCTCCTTCTACCTCGGCCGAACCGGCCTGATCTGACTGAGGATCGTCCGACGTGGAAGCGCGGACCTGCGGCACTTTGAGCCCATCTGGACTGAGAGTATACGGGATTCCCTGGTCGTCTATGAGAAGAAGGTTTTCAGTGTCAACGTCTAAGGAGGAGAGGGAGGTGAAGACAGAGGTAGAAAAGAAAGAGGGGGACAGAAGCGAGTCTTCAAGTGTATCTGTGCCATCCACACGCGGCACAGAGTCGTCTACATCATCGTCGTCCTCCTCCACTATGTCTCTGTCTCCTTCTCCCTCGTATTCATCTACCTCCATGATCAGCGAGGTCTCATAGCCAGAATCATCCAGAAAGCGCCCGCACCTCCTCTCTTGACTCTCTCTTTTCTTGGGCAAACTCAAGTCCAGTGGTTCCGTCTGATCCTCCACTCCCGCCTCATCAAACGTCTCATAAGACTTCAAGTCCATTTCTTGCAAAATTATAGGAATATTTCTCTCAATTTCACTCTCTGTAGTTTCCTCTTTAATTCCCTTCTGGCTCATTATTTTAACTGTATTGGTGCTGCAGATCAAAGCAGTTTCTGACCCGTCAGTGTGGATGATTTTAGTATCCAAAACATCTCTCTGTTTGCACATTTTACCCCCTCTCTCGGCCTCTGTCTCATGGAATGATACTGCTTTAGGTTCTTCAGTCTTTAGATGAGTGATGTCTTTGAGCTCTCCTTCATTTCTAACAGCAGGTATTTGGATTTTACTTCTGTTTTTTCCTGTGATCACAGCTCCAGCTGAGACCAAAACAGGTCTTCTGAAATGTGAGCGAGCAAAGTCTTTGGTCAGGCTGATGGCGGAGTTTGTGATTGGCCTCTTGCACCGTGGGGGAACAACAATTTTGATTCTGATTGGTTGGCTCCGCAGAACAGGCACTCCAGTCTTTACTGTAATTGGCTGCCTGAACCCACCAATCTTACTTATTTCCTGAGAGGCTGGCTTAGAATTCCCGCCCACCTCTGGCTTTTTCCCATTGACAGAAGGAACATCTTGTCTGATGATGGTCACTGCTGCTTTGACAGGGCATGGCTGGAGGTTACCTGGTACAGTACTGAGTGAGGTTTTGTCCTTTGGGTCCGAAAAACCCTCTGTCACTGGCCCTGATCCCTCTGCACACTGGCTGCCATTTTGGACATCCAGGCTGCCACTGGTCAGGACTGAAGCCAACTGAGAATCCATTTTGGGGCATACCTATTTATATTTCTATAAAATAGGGATAAAATAATAAATTAAAAACTCAGAGTAGCAACATCTGCAACACATTTCATGGTGGCAAAGGAAGGGGATTAAACATATCCTGTGGTTGGCTGGACAAACTAAATGTCTGGTCATTATTGGGGTCAAGTTTATTGCAAAGAGCCAATAATCAGCACTGATTTTGTGATATTACTAAAAGCCTACACATGAAGCAGATTACCCCCCCACCCCCACCCCAATCCCTCAGTGCGAAACTGATGAGCGACTCACATGCCCCCCCCCCTTCCACCCCAACACAACACCGTCCTGTAATTGTGTTGGTTACCTCGCATGATCCTAAATTATAGCTTTTCTTACCGAGGGGTCGAGCGGAGTCGCCGATCATTCAGAGCAACACACTGGAGCACCGAAGGGTCCGACTGATGTGAGCGAAATAACATTCCCTCTCATACTTCTTCTACCGTTCACATGCAACACTGATAATAAAAACGCTTCATTTTAAATTCGCCTCAGAACATTATTCCTACGCCGGCTGGTTTGCATCACTAGCCTGTCCTAATATGTGTCTGGGGATAAACCGAGGAGCACTGTGTCCGTGGAGGACGCCATTACGCACAGTCCTAGGTCCGAAATGCCAGTATTATTATGGTGCGTGTGCGCCGTGACAGCTCTCGGACCTGGGACAACGCCATCACTAACGCGACGCTCGGAGCAGAGAAACATGTATATTTACAGACAATCGCGGTGTGGAGCGGATCCTTCCCTCAGCACCGGAGCTTCCTCGGACCTACAGCCAGCCATTTTAGAGCCGAGGGTCCGAGACACCGAGAGCGCAACCCGGCAGCGTTAGGACAAACTTTCCCTGCGCGCTGTCATTTATTCCAGCCCTGCTGTGAGAGCCGGTGTAGGACGCGCCGGACACGCTTTCGATACATTTAAAACTGTATTTTAAACTATACTCCACCCATACACTCGCTGCATAGGGACTGGCTTACCCGAGCTGTGGATATTTCCGGAGGACCAAATATGACTGTGCAGTGTAAAGGGTGATGCTGCGAATGCTGAGGGAGGGAGGGGTCAAGGGGAGTTGCTATGGTGTCGCAGCCTACCGGGTCCGACCAGTAGCCATGTTCAGCCTATGAGTATGGTTGAACCTGCAGCCTGCTCAGAAAGGCTCCGTGTGCGCCTGAGAGTCAGAGAGACGGGGGGCAAAGATAAGAGAGGCACAAAGAGGATGGAGAGAAATGAACTTGAACTCACACAGCAGGATTTATGTGCAATAATAATAATGATAATTTTTAAAAAAAAAGGGAGGAAGCCAGTGAACAAACCGTTTTGACATTATTTTATTTCAAATCACTCACATCATTAAAACTTACAAGCCTCAAGACTTGATGCGTCAGGCATTACAGAGGGAAGATCACACAGTGAGATATCACAGAGTCGAGTCATTATGTGTTAGGCTACATGAAGCTATCATCACTGGCATAGCATGTATTAATGCATTATATATATATATATATATATATATATATACACATCATCATCATGGAGGCCTATGAATTACATCTACAGAACCACTGGCTCAAGCTGAAGGAGGATCAAAGTAATACTTGAGATTATAATTACGCTTGCAGTTTGATAGTGTGCAGGAGAGAGAGACAGAGAGACGGAGAGAGACAAAAGGCCATGATGCCACAAGCAGAGGATAGACAGCTTAGCCTGCTGATCCACAAGAGCTGTGAAAAAAAACAAAAAACATGTCAGCATCTAACAGACCATAATGGCAAAGCTGCAGAGTGGAGGAGGACTGCCCCTAGGTGACGGGGTGCTGGTGTGTGTCGGGAGGTTTTTCATATTGTGACACAGTGTCATGAGTGTTGGGCGGGTCGAGGTCAGACGTGCAGGTCATCACTCCACGTCAACAGGCTCACACGCTTCAATCTCTGAGACCAGCCGATGAGGGAAGAGTTTGTACTGCAACCACGTGGGCTCTGAAAAACAGAGAAGGTGCATGAATATTACAAGAGTCTCCAAATGTGAAATATACAAATAAGTTCCTCTCATGTTCTTTTGACTGTACGTGTGTGTGTGTGTGTGTGTGTGTGTGTGTGTGTGGTCTGGGATTACCAAGGTAGCAGGCTGGTGGCTCCAGTTTTCCATCAAAACAGGTCTGGAATGCAGTGAAGCTGCAATGCTTGTGAGGATGTTTGCAGTAGAACGCCACGTTTTCCCCGTGAGAAACCATGGCATCTGTCACGTCAAACGGCCAGCGCTTCATTTCACCAATCACCACACGGCTTCTTTCAGCGGGGATGAGACAGCGAGCTGAGAGAATGATCAACAAGGTATCCAAGTATGAGTGTACACGTACAAATGTTGTATTGATCCTCATAAAATTCTATTTACAGATACATATTTGGATGTTTCTAGGCCATGTTTATGTCATTTTCATTTTCACACACACTGAATGTACAATAAGAACTTAAATGTAAAGTTTTTATCTCTCTAAATACAACCCCCTTTAGATGCATTTAAATACAGATTTTGTTGTTGGTGTTTCTAATTGAAACATCCAGGATCTCCCTCACCTCTGCAATGTGGGGGTGATGCACTCCAGCTGCCATTCGACAGGCAGGTGACCTTCTGGGGTCCGTCCAGGAGGAAGTTTTTTTTGCAGAGGTAGTGGATGTCAAAGCCAACCTCATATTCAGTCTTCTGGACAGCCACCACGTAGCCCTGCTCCACCTCTGGAGGAGGCTGGCAGTACATTTCTAAGAGAGTGGGGAAAAAAGCAGATTATCCGGAGTTCCATCTTTAAATAATATAACACTAGAGTTACTTCAAAGAAGGACGGAGACATCGTTGCTCAGTTACTGCTCAACTGTTGTTTCCTGACACTTTACCTGCTGCTGATTGTTGGTTTTAAAGTGTAACTGAAGACTTTTGTACTTTTTTTCTTCCCTTTGTCTTTAAGCACCTGTCTCAATGACTCGAGAAGCATCCTGCAAGAATTTCCAATTTCCCACTGTGGAGCAGGCCATGCAGTTCCAAGTTTAGCCACAAGATGGCAGTAACACACCGTGAAACAGAGCAGTAGATCTTGGAAAGCTGTGTACTTCAAGGGGTTTGTGTGTTTCTGTTTGTCTCCTTCTTTGATTCACTCTTTCTTACATATCTAAACACACACACACACACACACACACACACACACACAAACAAATGCACACTACAAATGATGGTAAAAAAACAAAACAAAACAACATTCCCTCCCAACAAGACACACACATATTTGCAGTCTCTCGTTTCACTGACTCACACATCATCTTCTGCTAACCTTGAAAGATGCATGAAGTCATACTGAGTGTAAGGAGGATGTAATACACACACACACACACGCTCATACACATTATGGTCAGTGCAAAATACTACTGCACACTTACTTTTGCAGATAGGGTGAGGATACTGCCAGGTCTGATTATCCTGGCAGAAATTTTCACTACTCCCCACTATGTCTGCTCTGTAGGAGAGAAAAGAGACAGTGATGGAGACAGATGGCAGCGTGACATTTACAGTATTGACAGCTAAGGAGCTTCATCTAAATGAAAGTGATGAAAAAAGGTGTAAATGATTCCTTTTTCCACTCCGTCTCTCTGTCAGAGTGTCTAAATGTTGTGTGCACAGTTCTGGCTGACACATTCACTCAGGCTCATCTTTATCCTGTGAGATGAGTCAGTGTGTAAAGGGGAGTCAATACAAGATTAGACTGTAATGACCTAGTTAGCTCAATGGAGAGATCGTCAGCTGGGAGATCAAAATGAATTCCCTGCCATTCATCGCACATCACCCGTCGTTCCCCAACACCTCTCCTGTATTCAAGCCTTCGCTCCACTCCCTGCCTCCTCTTCACACTCCATCTCCGTCCTCTCACTTCCTCCATTTCTGCCTTCCTACCATTTCAGGTTTTCAGAGCCGTTGCCCACGCACTGACAACATTAACCTCCCGTCAGTCCCCCACTCTCTCACCCAGACAAGCAGCTGTAGCGAATGGAAGTTCCTACAGTAGCGTCACCCTGGATGCTGAAGGTGTTGATGACTTCCTCGGGGAGAGGGCAGGTTTGGGCAGCAGCAGTTTCGGGTGTCTGAGTCTCTGAAGGGTCAGAGAAGGAAAAGGAGGTGAAAGACTGGTAAAGACAAATGAGCGGTGTTGGAAGAAGTATCCAGATCCTTTATTTAAGTAAAGCAGCAAAACCACGCTGTAAAAAAAAAAAGTAGCAGCAAAATCTGAAAATGCCTTGAAGTGCTGTTCTGTTATATAATATAATAAATGCTGATGCAGTAATGTGTAAGCAGCAATTTTACTGTGTAGTTGGTCAAACTTTAGCTCCTTTTCTATATACTCTGTATTAATTGGTAGTTCGCGTGTGACAGTGCATCATATTTATAAGCTCATCATATTTTATGTTTGTAAAATATTAATTTATAAAGTGACTAGTTAAAGTGCCTCACACAGATGAGTGTGATATTTATTTCTCTATTTATTCTCTGTATTTATTATTTTTCAGTTTCTATATTTCTCATAATCAGAGTCACCCTCTTGACATTTTGAACACTGACATTATTGCATGTTTATGTCGATACAGAACCAGTGGTGCGATGTAACTACGTTAATAACATTTACTCAAGTACCGCACTTAGGTACAAATTACAGGTACTTGTACTTCACTTACTTTCATTTCATGAGACTTTTACTTCTTCTAGCAAACTATTGTTAGAAGTTACTTAACAAATTAAGAATTCAGCCTATAACATTTGTGAGCACTATACTGTATAGACCTAATTATACTAGCAGATCGATGATACAATTACTTTACTTAACCAACATTTTTAATGCAGACCTTTATTCTTGTAATGGAATATTTTTATATTGAAATTATTGATATTGCTACTTTTACTTGTCAAATAAACTATCTGAATACCTGCTGCATTTCCCCTCTCTTCTACCTACTGTTGCAAATATTGTAGGTTACTGGTTATTCTGCTGCACTGGTTAGTTTGTAGAGTAGGTTTGTGCAAAACTTATGAAATATTATACATAGATGAAATGCATAGAGGAAACTACCCAAAAGTATCAAGTGATCACAGTGAGCTCCACCTTGACCAGCTGCTGCAATAAAACACTGCTTACACACCCTGCACCAGTGGTAATTACTGCAACAATGAAACATGCAATAATGTATATAACTTTCAGAGGCCATCATTCTGCATATTGGGTACTTTTGATGCCTTAGGTACCTTGTGGATTATACTTAAACACTAAATACTAATATATCCTACTCAGTGTGTATCTAATGTGCATTGTGATTCAAAGAACTGAACACTCACAGAACCCACCCACAGTACAACGACACAGAAAACACATTATAATCAGCAAATACTGTAACTGATGGATATGGTCGAGAGCCAGAAGCAGGGAAGACAAAGTGAGGGAGGATGGAGGGATGGAGTAAGAAACATCCATCCTGCTACCTCATTTGACTTGTATTAACCAAGGTTTCTATTTAGTTTGTGACCCGCAGAGGCGTTTCACCTAATGTCTTGTTCTATTTAAGTTGAAATAACCCTTCTTAGATAATAAATCAAAGTTCGATGAGCCGGTGAAACGGGCGCCCAACACCTCTCCGTGCTCACAGCTATATCTGTGATTGTATAACACCTGGCACAGTTCATTCCTGGAAGTTTGAGTACCTCACGCTGGTGGAAATATATATATCAAGAGTGGTGCTTGGAGAGAGGCTGGAGCGACCCGAGCTCCATCAAGCGCAGGGTTTCAGAGCTGAACGTGGCTTTGAAAGGCAGAGACAGCTCTTGCCTGAGGGCTGTCTTAGGCATCTGAAACCGAGAAACGTTAATATAAGAATGTAAAGGGACCTATGGGAGAGGGAGAGTTATGAGTCTGTTTGGCTGCGGATGAGAGCCCGAAGCCGAGTTCTGTTTTCACATACCGCCCTTCTCCTGCCTCGCACTGCTGCCACCCACACAGGCTGCAGCACCAAACTGCTACGAAGCAGGTATATCGAATTCATCTTTTAAAACATGATAAAATAGTGATTTTGAATGAACAGCAGCATTAAATACACAGCCCTCTGATTGAGACCAAAGACGTAAAGGTCCAAACAGCCACCATATGAGCCCTTCTTGTGTGTTTTAACTCACAGAAATACACACACAGACATCCACACACCACAAACTAAATAGCCTAGAGCTGCATGCTTGTCCTTGGCTCTCATTGTAGAGAGAGACCTTATCAGAGGCCTCAGATGGAAGAGGATGAGAGGAGAAAGAGATGAGAGGAAAAGAGGATGAGAGAAGAGAGCAGAGGAGAGGAGAACAGGGAACAGAAAGGCCTGGAGCAGCAAGAGAGCTCTCTGACTCTTCTGACTGTGATCTGTCGCCCACACACACACACACACACACACACACACACACATATGCACACACACACACACACACACACACACACGCACCCACACACACACACACACACACACACACATATGCACACACACACACACACACACACACACACGCACACACACACACACATAGAAACTCTGTGACACATGTGCAATCCGCCCACCCACATATACACATCTAATGTACACAGGGAAAAAAACCTACCTCTCTACCTCTCTCCACACACACACACACACACACACACACACACACACACACAGAGAGTACACACACATTCACACTCGCACACAGTGTGCACGCAGCTCTGTGCCACTTTGACAGCGATCTGCCGCCCACTGCCTCTCAACAGGCATGAAGGAGCTCGACTCACACTCTAACACACATGCAAAAGGACACACAATACAAACGCTCTCATACGTTCAAAACCCACCTACCTTCTGCCTGTCTCTCAGCAGGAGGATACTCTACGAGAGAGCTGAGAATCATATCCTTATTTCACATCTTTGAACAGATCAAACATCTCAAGGGTGATACCGGGACCCAGCTGTGTTGCGGATCCTTTGGAGAGCAGGTTCACTGTAGCTCCAGGTGTGTGATTAATGCAGCAGGAATCAAACGTTGAAGCCTGAAATTGTATTGTTCTTACCAGAGCTGACAGGCCCGACACAAGTAATAAGCAGTACGTACTTTCAGGTGCTGTATCTTGATGAGATGTGTCTAGATGCTAAGAAATATTGATGGCTTTACTTCATGTACTGCTGTGCAGCCTCATGGCACGGTGGTAGAAGTAATAAGGCTGCACAGCAGGAACACAAATTGTCTTTTGTGAGCCACCTATTCAGATTTTACATATTTGTTCTGTATTGAGAGAGACAGAAAATTGAAATATTTCACTGCGTGATTATGTCAGGACACAGTGGTTGGTTGAAAAATAACATGAATCACGGCTGGTTCCAGCTGCTCCTGAGTTTGTCAGAATTTGTTTATGAATTTGTTGTGACCCCCGTGGCCTAAACAGGTTCATATTTACCGGGTCACGTCAGTTTTAGTTTCAATTACGAGACTGCAGAAGAGCTATAGCACATAAAACACTTAAAAAGTAACTTATAATTAACTTATTATGTAAGATTTTTGTTGAAATTGTGTTCACGAGGTTGCATTTTGTCTTGATCATAGCATCTTGTTTAGACTGTAATTTGGGTTTTGTTAGGGTTAGGGTTTCTTTTGTCCACCATGGAATCACAAAACATAAAGCCTTAAAGGCTAATTTTGTCTACAGGTAGATTACATAATGCAAGACATTAGAATAACACCACAAACTGTGGCCCAAAAGATGAATGGATTGTTATTGACACATGCATACAGTGGCAGAAAGTATAGATTTGTGAGCTGCCCTGCACATTCACACATGCGCAATGCATATGATCTGCATGCACACATGTATTCAGCTTTTATCTCCTCTTTAAACTTATCAGCAGTTCAAGTGTAAAATCTTCAGACAGCCAATATGAAAAGCTCTGGTTGCTATGGTGATGAGGAGAATAGGTCCCAGTTGTGCAATGTCTCAGCCGACACAGTCACAGAGGGGTTTCATTCCTGAATATCGGTCTGTCTCTCTCTCTGTCTTGTATGAACACAAACACAAAGAGCTGTGTTTATTCCTCGACCATCATTGACCGACACACGTACTGTGCACATGCAGTGTACCTGTTGCCTTTGTTAAAGAAAAGAAAGAATACTGAATTTGAGAAACAAACAAACACCACAGCATCCCCCGCCAGATGTTGATTACCTGTGGTAGAAATTCCTGGTTATGAAGGGACCTGAAGTGGAGAGTGAGAGAAACATTTTTCTGTTGAACTCAAACCCACCTGTGCAGATGGGCTCATCCCCACTCCACTGTCGGTCACCTTGACAACGGCGAATAGTGGCATCCAAGCCATTGGGCAACGTGAATCCAGGCTTGCAGCGCACTTCCAGCAGGGCAGAAAAGGAGTGAGTGGGAGAGAGGAGGCGAGCTACTGACTTTTCACTGAGGGGTAGAGGCCAGGCACAAGTACGACCTGAGGAGGAAAGAGATGATCCGGAGGGAGGAGAGAGGAGAGCGAGCAGGAGACAGGAAACAAAACATTTCTCAGAATGTGCTGGATCGTTCCTTGTACAAGAGAAATGAAATGGTTAGCGTTAAAACCACTTTAAAAGAGCACTAATGAGGTTGTATAACTAGACTGGATCCATGCACAGTGCCCCCTTTTACAGTGCACAAGCATAATAAAAAGCTTGTGTTCAGCACTGGCATAGGGTGCATTTTGAGCCCAGATTTTGTGCATGACCAAGGCTTTTATTTCATTTTCCAGGAAGCAAACACACACACACACACACTCACATACACATACACAAACACACACACACACACAAACACACACACAGATGTATGTTGGCACAGCTGGGTATACGCACACACAAACACTTTTAATGACTGAGCCCACAGTGGTGTTCACAGTGGCAAGTGAGGGCACACATGCATACAAATAGTTACCTGGAGCCACACAGCTGAGACCACACTGGCCGTCACACAGACACTGGCGCTTGATGCCGCAGTCTTTGTCAACTTTGCAGGGCCGAGGACACGTCCTCCTCCTCTCCTCTCCCAGAAGCCTCTCCGGACACGACCCTGTTGTGATACCACACGGACTGTCACACTGCCGCAGTAATTGCCCCTTTGTTTACCTCTACTCCATTTGCGGCCCCTTGTAAAAACCGCAAACACTAACGGCCATAATGAGAATTTGTTTGCGGATTCTTCTTTGTTTTCTGTTTGAAGGAAAGTAAATTCAGTGCGGGCGACCGGGCAAACATTTGCCACCCAGGTTGCCAGATGAGGATTTCGGTGGTAGCCATTCACCTATCAGTCTTTTTTGTATAAAAGTGAGTGCATAGTGATTACTGTACGCTTTCTCAGCAGAGAAAATGTCTAAAATGCAATTCATATTTGAACAGGATCAGTCTGTACTGAGGGTACTCTAGTACCTACAGCCCCTCCTCATTTCCCTCACACATATGTACTCCACCACACATCATAAAACCAAACCCTCCACTTATTTTACATTGCACGCTGATATCGACACACCCTCAGTGCCCAGAACATTTGAGGGGGGGAGTGGTGGGAAGGAAAAGGGGGAAACAGAGTGGGTTCCCCTTTTTTCATTTCTGAGAATGAAAACATGTGTGATACTGTATTCACTCTGTCCTCAGCACGTGTGACCACAAACACACATGTGCTGAGCTTAAAAAAACACACATGATCAACCCAGGGCAGCGTTGAGACACAGTGTACAGTACGTACAGCACATACACACAGCACCTATGATATTAGAAATTTTATTAATTATTGCAATTAATGGAAATATAAACCAGTATTATGGAAGGTCTGGAATCTCCTGTGGAGGTGTGAGAAAGGTCAGTGATGATCCAGCACAGATAATGCATTCACCAAAATATATATAAACCGTTCACCATGACTTTGTGCAACCAACATTTGCATTGTGAGGGAAAACTGGTGGCTCCTGATTAATTAACAAAACAAAAACACAAGTAAATGTACTAAATAATTTTACTTGACTTGACGTGACTTTCCCATCAGTACTTTATATGACTGCCAATCCAGATTGATGATTTTTTTTCTTATTCAACATGAACATTATTGATTCAACCAAGTGCTTTTCAATCAGGAACAAAAGTGCACACACTGCATTGCACAGGCTCGTCCTTAATTAGTGCAAAGGATTAAATGCATGTTTGATTAATTGCACAGTCCCAAGTTGGCAAAATAATCATCTTTACGTTAAAATACAATCTAAAGTGAAACAAAACTTGAGGTGGGAAGTCCAGCTGGTCAATAATTGCACTCAATTAATATATGGTCATTCCTCATGTGTGTCCAGTATTTAGTGACGGTTCAGCTGTGTTTGTTGTGTATGCAGGGATCTTTGTGAGGGTGAGTGATGGGAGTGACGTGAAGAGTCAGAGGACTTACCTGGAGTCTGCGGAGACACCGTTCCAATAAGAGCCCACAGGGACAGCAGCAGCAGTGCACAGTCCATCCTTGAAGCCTGGCCTTAGACGATATGAGGGAGGGAACGCGCAGACACAGCATTTTTAAGGAAGGGGGAACAAAGGGTGGGAGAGGGGGGAGAGGAAGAGCCGGGGAGGGAGAGAGAGGGAGAGTGAGGGAGAGGGTACAGCCCTGGAGCACACATCTGGTTCGCGTTGCAGAGGAAAGGAGTGAGGAAAATTCCAGTCTGAAGGACCTTTCACCTATTTCTGTTGAGACAGCAGATAAAGGGGATGACACATACGTGGCTGTTGTCCAAGCTAATAGTAAACAAATTGGAGTAAACAAAACAGGGAATGCTATCAGTGGAGGAAATTGATAGGTTTTACCTGATGCCATGAGTGCAACATTTTTCTCTCCCATAGATCCAACCATGCAGCGCAATATGACATATGTCTTTAATTCTTTAATTGATGTTAAGGCCATTAAACTGTTTTTTCATAGTGTAACCATACTCTTCACAGTTAAATGGTCTGTAATATTCTATCCCAGCTGCACTGAAGAATAAATCCTGTTTGTGAGCACTTTATCCCCATAAACGCAGCACTTTTAATTTAAAAAAGTGTGAAATACTCATTAAATGTCCAGGAGAAGCATTTCCTTTGTTGGGCAAGAACGCATATTTGGACCTCTTTGCCTATTAAAGGAATGTACACAATGTGATCAGACAGGGAGGATATCAAAACAAGTGGTCTTGAGACATTTCACTGCATATTATAGTCTGGTTATCCTGAAATTTCACCTCTGTCACCCATTTAACTGAAGAATACTGGGCTTTAATTCAAGATTCAGGCACACGAAGCTCAGGAGAAGAACCCGGAGTAAAAAAGCAGAGCAGTAGTGAATGAGAACAATCTTTTATTGGTGTTTTTGGGAAATCTCAACTACATCCAAACAACCAGCACCGAGTGGGCTGGGCACCATGGACACCACTGATGCAGCAGGGCAGTTGTAGTTCAATTAGAGTCACTAGAAGATTGATCAACCACATCTGTGAGGATATTAGAGACTAAATCCTGTTGGGAGAGCAAACAATCACTGATTGAGGTGGTAAAGGCTGAAATAAACCAACAAGGAGCATATCGACAGTGTGCATAGTCCATACACCGCTGGGGAACAGAAGAGGTCATCGTGAAAGATAAAGTAAGTCTGCATGAGCATCATGTTCAAGTTACTGAGCCACATTTGTGAAATCCATGGTCAAATAAACCAAGGTGGCAGTAGTGTCCGTAGCAGAAGCGAGTAATGTTGAATGTCTGGAGGTCTGAGACAGGATGTAAATAGCAGAGTGAGGGTTTCTTTCCATTTGAATTGTCTTTCTGAGGAACAATGAAGATCAAAGATGTTTCAAGGTGCAACAGATCATGTTCATCCAAAGAAAGAAAATCATTCAGTAATATAGAATAGCAACAATAAGAGGGATAATCATCATAATCATAACAATAATAATAGCAATAATGGTAACTATTCATCATGGTCATTAAGGGGATTAAAATCACACTCTATTACTAGTCACCCCTCCCCCCAGGAACATAACATAGTGTACCATGCCCCTGTGCAGGTGATGTGGGTACACAGAGAAGTTTATAGATACAGTAAAAAGTAAGGAGTAATAACAGGAGTAAACAGTAAGGAAGGAGCAGTATTGAAAAAAGCACTAAATAGCAACAAGCTTTGTGGATCGACATAGGAAATTTTGGCTTTTATTTCTCCCAGAAATCTGAGAAATTAACACCATTCCACTCAATGGGGGTACTCGACCCATCTCCTGGAATACATCAAATACACAAAATAGTATAGGCCTATCCAATATACACAATATTTCTCCCCCCGTAATAATGCTAATTAAAGTGTGTTCATAAAGTACAGTAAAGTAACGATGTGCGTTTTACTGGGAAGGTTGATTACTATTTCAGAATACATTACAACACTGAGATTTGACTATCTCTATGTACTGTCGAGGTACAAGAGAGACACAGGGACAAAATGTTATGGGAAGAGTTTGCACATAACTGCGAGGGGATTGAAGACAGAAATAGAGCAGCTGAATTTAGAAACAGAGGACGAGAAATGTCCCAACAATTCAAATAGAGGATCAAGAGGAGCAAAGTTACCCGGGGCATCAAAACAGACTCTCACCAGCTTAGGTGAGATATGAAAAACACCAGAGTAGATTGAAAGCACTCCACTGGGATTGTGAGGCATAAATAAAAAAAAAAAAAAAAGATAGAGTCAAAGATACGAGTATGGACCAGAGACAGATGTACCAATCTCATATATAACCTCAAGGTACACGTATTGTTGGGGAACTGAAGTCAGTTAAAAAAAGGGTGAAGTATTAAAGAAGAACACACAAGACTGAACAAGACAAGTGTTGAGGGTAGTGCTGGACTGTTTACATGGTGTCTACTCATGTCTCTCATTCTGCCTCTCGCGAGCATGCCCATTCCCAGTGACAGAAACATAACAGGAAAAAAATTAAGTGCTTGAGTAAAATCCACAAAAATGCTGAACTATACGATTTTAAGATAATTTTGCTCTCTATATTACAATTGTTACATGCGTCCTCGCCCCTGCTGCTGCATCCTGACTACGATAATCAAGTTGAAAAATACCCATCGATGGCTGACCACCTGTCAAACATCTCCTGACTCGTCTATAATAAAAAGATATTTACCATAGCTTTCCCCCCATCTCTATGTCCCAGTCATGTAGAAAATATACAAAATTATTCTCCAAATTTGCTCTCCCTCTAATTTTTCAGAAGTATTATAAAAATATACAATTCTCCAATAACAAAACTCTTAAAAGTCACATCTTTCATCTGTTAAATTATTCTCTCCATCCATCACTTTTAAGAGCTGACACCTCAACAAAACAAGACACCTGAGCTTCAATACACAAACCTTCTCCTTGTCTTATACATTCATCATCATAATCATCATCTTCCTCATCATCATCATCATCATCATTATCCTGACCCCATTCTGTCCATCATGCCACCCCGAGAATTCTGAAGTCTTAAATTTAATCCAGCTTATATTCCTCCTCTTCGTGATTTCACTCCGTGCCTTCATCACTGGTCAGCGAGACGGTTCTCGTATTTACTAAGGATGTTGCGACAGCGGCCCAGTTCCTTCCGCATCTCGGCCACTTCTTGTCGGAGCGCAGCGTTCTCTCTCTCCAGGTAGGCAGCGCGCACGGATATCTGGTTCTCCTTGAGACGGCGAGCATCTCGGGAACGCTTTGCTGCTTCATTGTTTTTATACCTCCTGGTCCAGTACTTCTCATCCTAAAAGAGGACAAACAAAAACAGCATATATTGATTATCATGGTTGATCAGGGAATTGAAGTATTGTTAGGCAGAAGTACTTCAATAAAATGATTAATGAACAGTCAGGCTTGTTTCTTAAGGAGTGTGTAGCGCTCTTCTACAGCTAAACTCCTTTTATGGTAATGTGGGTGTTTGGCCATGAATGAGCGTGGGACATGCTGCTTTCACATACCTCATCCTCAGCACTAAGTTCATGTCTGAGAGTAAATAAAATATGCAAACAGCCTAAATGTCCCACATCCACAGCTGAGGAAATTACATACAGCTCCAACACACAGGCAAATATTTTATGCTTTTCCATAAACCTCTCACTATTGTGAGTGTAGTAAAGTTTTTAAAAACGTCCCAATACCAACTTATATATCTCTCTTTTTGTTGTGTTGCTCTAGTGTTTCTTACTGTTCTGCCCCTTTCATACCTCGTCTTCAATGTTTTCAATGTGAGGTGCTTTCCCTTAATTTAGTAATATGTTCCCTTGAATATGAGCTAAAACAATCAGTTGAGAAAATTGATCTGTCACAATTTTGATAATTGATTTAGTCAGTTATCAAGTAATAATGCCAAACATTCTCCAGTTACAGCTTCTCAAATGTGAGCATTTGCAGCTTTTCTCATAGTTTATAGTGGTAAATTAAATGTCACTTTGAGGATATCACCTTAAGCTCTGACAGATTGTGATGGGCATTTTGTTGACAAAACAATTAATCAAATAGTTGAAGGTAAAAATAAAACTAGAATTAATTATATTTTCCCTTTAAATACATGATATGTGCCTTAAAACGTCTAATCGTGGCCTTAAATGACTTCCCGCCCACGGTTCCAACTGACCAGCACTGCTCTGAATTCTCCTGCTGCTGCAGTAAACACATCTGAGTTCACCCACCTTCATGTTATCAGGCACCAGGATCTTGCGGGCCTTCTTGATCATTGGCTGGGGCTTGAGCTCCTCTTCACTGAAGGAATGCCTCCTGGGGTCGAAGTTCTGCTGGCTAGAGGCGCTGGACATCGCCATGTCCGAAGGATCCATGTCAAACATTCCAACCACATCTGGCCCGCTGCCCGTGGGCGTCAGCAGAGGTGGACAGGAGGACGAAGAGGAGGAAGAGGGTGACTCACAGGACTCATTCATACTCGTTTGACTCCCTGGAATCACAAGGAAGATAAATTTGTTTCAGATGCTTTTCACCGACCTGCATTTAAACTGAAACTGATTTTACTGCCAAACGTACATAGAGGAGCTGATGACAGCAGGCCACTGTGATAATAATAGAAACACACGCAGCATTTCACCCTGATGACCACCAGATGGAAGCAGAGAGCTACGTTCTTGGCGTTATAAACAACAAACAACATTCCTTTGCCCTTAACTGATCCCAAAGAACTGAGGAGGTTTTTCAATCAGCTTTCATGGACATGAAGGACAGCAACAAGGGTAGGCTCGTGTTTAAAGAACGCACTGGGAATATGCCCTGCCATTACATATGATACAATTAAATAATATTATGTATAATAATAAATTACATTTTTTGCATACAGATAAACAGATATTATGGAGTTACAGGTTTCCGTAATACAAAATACTCCAAAATATACTTCTGTAACACAGATCACATCAATGTCAAGTACTAATACGATATCAGCTCAAAGAATTATTGATATATATGATTTATTACAAACCTCAAAACTGCTAAAAATTGAAAATCCAATTTAAAATAGTTTCATTATATCTCTCATTTCATATAATACTGGTTTAAGAAAAGCATAACTATAGTCCCTACATGCCTGGGAATTTAATAGCATCTCTTTAAGCAGCCTACAGACAAACCAGTGCTTTGACAAACTGACACATAACTACAGCTACATGAAATCAGTGAATGATATTGGCTTCTTTTATTAACCAAATCATTCAGAAATTCTGGTAGACCAAAGCCAACATCCAGAACTAAAAACCAATACAGAAATCTAAAAGTGTAAGTTATGTAACTTTCTACCCCCTCCCCTTAAAACCAGTTTCTTTAAATGGGGCCAGTATAGGGCTATACGTCACCCCACCCCCTTTTACCCCCTACATCTCCATACACAAACAGCTCAGTCAATATCCTTATTATAAATATAGTCAACCAAAAAAACAAACTTGAACCATCTCACAATTATAGGCTAATGATAGTCTGGAGTGTGTTAACTTCAAAGTGATCTTAACTTTAGTCTTTAATTTGACAAAGGGAGCCATTGTCAAACAGTATCACAAGCTCAGGGATAGACAGACACAAGACAGGATAGCTACTCAACGCCACAACATGGCAGCCTTACAAATGACAATAGAGTCGCAGCAGTCTAAACTAAACCTGTAAACCTTCAATTCCACAAAGCTGGCAATTAATGCAGACTTACAATGTGGAAACACTTTCCAAAAACAACATAATAAGTACTAAATGTGGTGTAATGGCCAAAAATCTTTAACTCTGGTGGTGGTGGGAAGAACAGGCAGGTTGTTGGTTGGAGAAAAACAAACCCATCCCCTCTATCTATGATGTGTTGTCACCTGCTAAACATGTTATCTGTGCGTCTGTAATATATGAGCAGCGATCACATGAGTAATGGCTGTGTATTGGCCAGATAATATGAGCACATATTCTCACACCAGTTACACGCTGAAGTGCGAACTGTTCCTAAATGATATTCCCATGTTCCACAGTGAGAGTGCCGCCATAACACTAAAAAATTAAAGTGTTTTCGTAGGCGCCAAGATGAAGTCAAGCCCATAGTACATAATCAGCAGGTCTAAAAGTCACCGAATCTTGATTTAAATAACAACCATGTGCTTATGACTAAACCAGGAGGCTTCGATGATTTTTGCTGCTTAAACCTGACAGCAGGTACCAGTGAGCGCAACCAACTGGTGTCGTGTTTTTTTGGAATGAAAACGTGCCAACCCTCACTTCTCCTGTGGTACATGGTTGCCTCTCTCTGTTTTTTGGGAAGCTCCGGAACGCAGACCTGCAAAGTAGATTTGGTGCATTTTTGTCCACGTGTCTCAACTCTCAGTGAACAGGAGGCTTTTGCTTTTGGAAAAAAACGGTCAAATATGTGACTAAATGCATTTCAGGACTCATACAACTGCATTCCACGAAGGACTGAAGCTGCTGTGGATGCAGAAAAACAGCAGCCCTACCCCTATTTAGGTACCTAATATACTCCAATGTTCATAGATGTTGCTCCATTTAATATTCATGAATCAGCTGTTGGTTGAGCACCTTTATAATACCACAGACTAGAATACAGCTTCCTTCTTTCCAGCTGAGGGTGAGATGAGGAGAATAACAACTTTAGCAAAGTCAAAATAATACTAACTTTTAGACTCAACGGTATTTTGTTTTTAAGCAGTAAGACTTATCATAATTATTTTCATGTAATTATTAGATTCCATATAAAGGGGCTGTAAACGAAATACATGGGCTTTTATCATGCAGTATGAATACATTATCAGTTTATGAACATGCCCTTTGTCACTAAAGGACTGAATTAAAGGTTCTGTGTCAGCGTCCTATACGATATAAAATTCTCCTCTGGATATCAGAGTACTTAATATCATTCAATGGTCATCAAATGTTCAGTTTGAAGTCCAGCAGCTCAGGGAAACTCTTCCTGTTGCTCAGTCTGTCCCTCCCCCCGTGGACTCCTCCTACATGTCTACTGGCCCTGCCTCTAGTTCTCTCACTCCAGTACTCTCAGCCTCTGCACGTGTACCGACGCGTGCACATGGCTGTGGCGTGTGAAGTGGGGAGAGATTTAAAGACACGCAACTGCAAACACTCCACACACTTTTCTCTCTCTCTCTCTCTCTCTCTCTCTCTCTCTCTCTCTCTCTCTCTCTCTTGGTACTGCTGTTGTGACCCTGCTGCACATTAATAATTGGCTGGGAGTGAATGCTGATTGTGTTGTACACTGCAGTACATAGATCACATGCCAAACCAAACCAAACCTCCTGGTCATTGCTATGAGACTGACTCATCAAATAGCTGAGGACATCTATCTTTACTGCACCTTTTTTCCAAATTCTTCACCTCTCGCCAATACCTTATCCAGCACCATGCTACAATATGAAAAACAAATTTCAGCCGATGTTAAGCAGCCATTTCTAGACTCTGTGTTTTCTCTGTCAAGTTGACTTTGCATTTAGAGCCATGTGACTGTACCTCCTGCCTTCAGTTTGACCCCATAGGACAGAAAAATGCTTTGTCACCACAGGATTTATTATAAACTCAAAGAAGAATTTAAGTGCTGAATCACTAGCCCGTGGGAACATTTTAAGCACAGTAAATAACCTTGATTGCATCTCAACCATTACTGAATTGTAGGGTCTACTAGTCTCATATCAGTGACAAGGGACAATTTGTTTCTTTCAGCTTGTAAACTGCACAAAGTTTCCAGAACCCTCTTCCATGATATTGCTGTTGTGAGCTGATATGGACAAACCTTGAAGAATGAACTGTCCTTGTTCATGTTTTTTTTTTTTTTTTTTACTCTCTGGTTCAACTGTGTGTCTATTCCCTCAAGAACAAAATGCTCCATGTCATTAAACTCACCATGCAGACAGTCAGTTCCTCCTGCAAGGCTCTGCGGCTGAGCCACCTCCAAACCAATGAGTGATGGGGAAGAAGAGGAAGAGGGCGAAGAGGATGAAGAGCCAGGTGGGGATGAGGGCGGTAGGCACTGGGAGCTCTGGCTGGGCACAGCTGATGGGGAGCTCTGTGAGGGGATCTGGGCTGAACTGGAGCTGTTGTTGTTATGCATGCTGCCCATTCCATTTTCAGTCAGAAACTCCTCCAAGTCCATGTATTGAAGCTGGAAGAGCCCCCCATCTGCAGGCAGGGTGCGATCCCACAGAAGAGGCCCCAAAAATTGGTTGAAACTTCCTCCTCCATTTCCACTACCTCCTCCACCACCTGATCCACAGCCATTATTGTTATTACTGCTGCCTATTCCACTGCCATTCCTCATGGGGCACACGCCCAAGGAGTCCTCATCAAGGTCCAGTCTGTCTTTGTCTGCTAGAGAGTGGAGAGTTGAGTCATTATTAGTTCAGGATGAAGACGTTGAAAAATTACTTTGGTGCAACTTTAGCATCTTTCAGTGAGAAACAAGAAAGTTCTAGTACCTAAGGTTTTCTTTTTAGATATTTGAATATGGCCTCTGACAAATGGATGCTAACATCAACTCCCCATATTTGTGCAGAACTAAATGGGATGGCAGGTGTATCCATAAGATACACCTCTGCAAATTCTCCCACTCTTTCCATGACCCATACTCACACACACACAAATACACAATCACAGATGGACCAGATGGTAGCTGAATTGCAGCATTAGACAGGAGCTGAAACCAATTTGTTGTCATAACATATACGTAAGCTCCTCAACAAATCCCACAATAGCTGAAGATACGTTTTGGCACAAAAGGCAACTGGAACGCATGCCTGCACAGTACCACAGCTAAACCAAAAGATGCTATCACTCATTGTAATCTGGATCTGAATCTGAAGTCGCAGCAGGGATTATAGTCCAGGTGAATACTCAGAAGGATCATGGAAGAGTCATCATGGACATGTGTGATGGTGAATCAGACTTTTGTGTGAAAATCTGTGTCATTAACTATGATAAGTAATACAACGTATCTGTATTACAATAACAGTGGCAGTGGGTGGAACAGAGGGGTATGATTTATTCATGCTCTGTCACTGCATATATTGAAGACAGACTGTGTCAGGTGCTAGTGCTGCACATTCAACATAAACAACAATGTAACATAGTATTAATTCACCAAATGAGAGACTTTTTCACCTTTTGCATCACTGGGGTTTTTTAAACGCTGGTCTCCCTTCATGGGGTGCTGCAGGAGGGATTTCAGACCTGCCATAGAGTTGAGATGCCCCCCTGTGAGGGAGCCTGCAGGCTGAGTACAACTTCCAAACTGTGGGCTTGCGCCTGCTGGTAGGTCGGGGGTCGGAAGCTGGGAGAGCTGCCTGGACATCCTGGACCAGACGGGGTCACAGAGAGACACCTGGGGTACTTGAAGGGGCGAGGCTATCTGACTGGAGTATCTTCCAATAGGACAAGTGTGCTGGATGACTCTGCATGTGTGTGCAGCAGGGGTGGGGGTGGAGGGTAGAAAGAGAGAGAGAGAGAGAGAGAGAGAGTTTTGAGAAGTGTCCATGCAGAATAGAGCAACCATTGTATTGAAATTACAAGTATGACCATTGTATTAATGACAGTTTTATTATACTTTAAAACTTCCAATAAATAACATGCAACTTTTACCTTCCCCTTGTAGTTATTAAGGCTTCCTTATTTCCTTACAGAAATATTTTCATCGAAGTATTCCATTGTATCAAAACTGTGCAGTAGATCAAGCTGTTATTCTCAGAGGAATAGTGTGGGAGGGACAGTCAGACCATCTGAGTAGGAATACTGTCCATGATAAAAAAAAATGCAAAGGCGTGAAAAATGACAATGAGACCCAGAGACTGCACGGACAGGAAAATGTTGCAATTAAAAACTTGTAGAGTAATCTCCCGAGTTAATGGTCCGGTGTTCAAAAAGAAGACCCCAAAACAGTTGCAAAGCAAACCTCCGTCAAAACAAAACAACCTAAGAGACACGGTGTCCACAGAAAAACACACACACAGCGACGAAAGCAGTGGCTGACTTGGTCAGATGACAACTTGTATTGGTGTTTCTCTCCTCTCTGCTGTCGCGCTCTGCTGTCCGTCGGGGGGGGCGGGGGAGGAGGAGGAGGGGTCGTTTCCTCTTTCTCTGTCTGTACTTTTGTGCATCCGGTGGATCCAGTCACGGGCGCACGGGCTTGGGTCTGTGTCTGGGCCGCGCGACGTCCACGTCCGACCGTCCTCCTTCGTTCTCTCTCTCTCTCTCTCAGCTGGAACGGACACGGGAAGTTCACGTGACGTCACACCTCGCGGAACAAGCGAGCGAGGCGCGAGGGGGCGGGGCGGTGTTTAACAGATCTCTCTGTCCTCACTTATTATTTATGAGACACACCTACCCTCGTGCCACATCTCGAGTAGAGGCGGCTGTTTGTTTTGTCTGACAGGTACAAACATGGTGACTTCTCTCAGTTTGTTTTAAACTGCATCAGTGGAGATATAGTTTGTTTGAGCTTTAGTATGATGAGTAAACTGACTCTATACGACTGAGCCTGATTTCCATCACAAACAACTAATTTAATTATGTCCAGGATTACTGGTTCAAAACGTTGCCCATCTCTATTAGAGCATAGATTTGTCTTTCTATAATAATCAGTTAGAGCTGCATGGCTTTTCCAGTTTCCTTGTAATCCACAGAAAACGTGAGTGTGCCGTTTTTTCAGGCGAGAGGAACGCTTCAGCACGTTGCCTCCCGGTGTACAATAGCTGTTCCATATCACGTGTATCAGGCACGCGGAGACCAGTCCTGGCCGCTCGCGGCTCTGGCTCCGATTGGCTTCGGTAATTCGTCGCTCCGCCCACGAAGAGCTGTTATTGGCCAGAAATAGGTCGAACATACCCGCCCGCTCGGATTCCCCTCATGCATGCCCCTGCCGCGTGAGGCCAGTTCGAAACACAAAAAGCGCGAGGGCTGTCTAGTCTATACTGTACATGCAGAGCACATGCAAAACATAGCGCGCCACAAGAATCCGCCTCTTTGTGTGTTTTCCAGAGTTGGCATGAAGGAGTTGACAAGTAAATTGCTGGCGGACTGAAGTCATCACATATCAAAGCTTTAGTGAATATAGAGTCCATGAATATTATGCAATAAAAAAGAGAGTAATATTGAAAGTAACTGTGCAGCTGTTGTGGGACCCCAAAACTGTAACCACCTGCCCCCACCACCTAAGGCAAGAGTGGGTATGAATCATCATATTTTGTTTACAAGCAAAACAGATGGATTTTATCACCAATCTGAATGCAAACAAACACACGTGTGCCCTAAAAATAAAGTTAACATGTCCCACATATCAACTCCATCACTTACAGGTCTAACGAAATCACAACATTGTGGCTGGGCACTCAAACTATCAAAGACTGAACTTGCAGCTGATTTTCTATCTTGAAATTATTGAATTGGAATGACAGAAAGGGTGTCATTACCAAATAATCTTATATTTTAAAGCAGTGAATCTATAGTTGACACAAATGAATAATTACATGAACTGGATTTAATCCCTATAACATACTAATTTCTGGACGGTGCCGTTTTATCTAAATGTAGCTAAATTTAACTGCTCATGAATACGAGTAAAGCTCAAGCATTTTGTTTACTTTGTGGCATTTATCTTGTAGTAAACAGCAGGCAGTCCCATAATTCACACAGTCATACAACACTCTCCCATCCACCTCCCTATCAGTGCAAAATCCATGTGACTGCCTCACTCATCCACACCAGGCCAACAGTACGGTATAAATGAGTTTCTTACTGCCATCTTGTGGAGCTAGAAGTGAAGAGTTTTACACAGCCATTTATTTCAAGTATAGTGATAATATACTGTAAATTTGAATGATTGAAAACCGTTCCATTACATTGGAGTAATCTGGCCAATAACATAGGTAAGCCTAAGAACTTTGATGAAATTTATTGGTATATCAACTACATCCTGAAATCCATTTAATTCACAGAGTGATATGAAATTCACAAAGGACATAAAGCTAAATATTATTGTAAAACTTCAATACTGACTTTGGTAACAGTTACATCTTACTTATGTTCATTGACTAGCAGTTTGCACCATCTGTGTGGGTAACTTTGAATCAGAAATGAAAGGGAAAACAAATGATTACACTTAAGGTTTATTCATTGCTGAAATATAATCAACTACTGACTTCTCAGTAAATAATGTGATAGAAATCTACTAAAACTATCATTTTTCTTTAGAAGAAAAAAAACAAGGCTTGACAGGGGTATGAACATTTCATATGTGAATAAAGTGACAATATGTACTTAAAACTTATTTTTCTTTAAAAGAAAAAAAAACAAGGCTTGACAGTAAGAATATGATTGCAACTCAGCAAAAAGTAAAATGTAGAAGGGGTTAAGTATAAGATTGGCATGAAGACTGATTGGGTTACACACATAAATACATGGAATATTATTTTTGTTTCTATTATGATAGGTCCTTGTCTTTAACACACCGTGAAGTACTGTAGAAATAATCACTGCTAAAAAGAGCATACAAATAACATGAGATAAACATGTGTTACAGTCCACTTGTTTAACCTGTTTTCAATCTCTTGGTATAAAAGCTAAGAATATCTCAAATAAATGAAGTAAAGTGAACATAATAAGCAAGGCTTTTTGTAAGTTTCTTCATTTTGGCAGGAGAGGGATCCTTGTAATGCTAATTACCAGCAACTTTGACATTTTATCTATATGTGATTAAATCACTAGGGAATATAGAGTAACTTTCAAATCAAGTTTTACACTACAAACTTCTGGGGATATACTGAATAAACCATCACATACTGTAGGAGTGATTTCACAACCTCAGCAAAAAACTTGACCAGAGAACAAACATGCACTGACAAACTATCAACAAAGGTCTTTGTCCCCATGTCCCTACTCCTAATAAATGCACTTTACATTTTAAAAAAAATCCTCAGAGCCTCTACGTGAACAACAACAAGACAAAGTACACAGCAGAGACGTTTATCATACAGCAAAAGGTGTAGCAGGAATTCTAGTTATGGGGAAGATACATTAGCAGGTCATTTCACCTAAACTTGTCTATTAACTGCACAGTGTCAGCCAAGCATAGTGTCAATGCACTTAAGGGGTTAATGATCCTATGCAAACAGTCTTTGTAGACACCTTCCAATATAAACTGGAAGAATTTCTGGTGATATTATATAGGATGCTCTACAGTAGTTGTTAACACACTCATTCTAATAGTCAGCAGAGTAGATGTCAACGGAGACATGAGACAAATTCTCCTAAAGGCAGCATTTGCCTTTTCATGTCCCTTTTTTTCTCACTTTCCCATTTTAGAACTGAAATATCCCTCTTGTATGCCACTCTTTTCAGATACCAGGATGTTCAGTATCTGTATGGTCCCTGTAAGAATGGCATTTCCTCCTGACCCTCGCAGGTCTGTCTCTCTCCTGGTCTCTTTGAAAGCTTCAGCCTCTTCGCATCTCCTCTCTGCAGTCCTTTAGCCCTGCGGCGGCAGGACACCTTGTGCCTGTGGAGAAGCGTAGCATTCCAGAAGCGAGCGGAGCAGCGTCGGCAGGAGAAAGTCCCTCTGGCACGATGGGAGGCCCGATGCACGAAGGCTGCCAAAGGCCTGTGAGACTGCTTCCCGCATACACTGCAGCTTAGTCGCTCCTGAGTGGTCGAGGCTTTTTGTGGGTGTTTAACTGCCATGTGAACTAGCAGTCCCGCCTTACGGGAAAACACAGAATTGGGGCATATAGGACAGCCAAAACGTTTCACAGGGACCTTGAGAGACGACAGGATCTGCACCTTCATTCCCCCAGTGTTGACAAGCTTATACCCACCACCACCTGATCCTCCTCCACGCCTAATTGTCAAACGAAGAGAGCCTTGTTTTTTATTCAACTGCCCTCTTATAGTACAACTTATCTTTCTCTTCTTTTTGCTTCCATCGAATCTGACTAAATCTTGGGATTCCCATTTATTTTCCCTCCAATCTCTCCTGTCGGACTTTTTTTTTTTCTTCTTGTGGCGTCTCATTTCATCGTTTGACAACTGGATGCTGCAGTCGAGGTGTTGGTGGGGCTGGGTACCTGACTGATGATGAGGATGATGGTGGGAGTGATGATGATGGTGATGCAGATGATGATGTTCAGTGGAGGGCAGTTCCGTAAGGGGCTGGAACGGGGCTGTGGTGTGCAGCGTGCGGCTACGGGATCCAGCTGGGTATATGTGCTCTCCTTTCACCCCGGCTGGGGAGTGTGGGTGCTGAGGGGGCATGATTGTAGAGTTTGGAGGCAGAGGCTGGGAGTAAGTTGGGGCATTAGAGGCTGAAGATTGGGCTGCTGCAGCATCATAAAAGAGTGGAGAATAACCAGCTGGAGGCTGCGGGGGCGCCTGTTGGTGGCTATGAGTGACGACGCTAAGACTCTGCCCTCCATGGCCCTCTGTTGAGGGAGCCATCTGTAGCAGGACATTGGTGGCAGCCTCGCTCTCTGATGTTGACTGATTAACATCACTCCCACCTCTGTTGTCTCCAGACCCACTGCTGCCCTCTTGCGGGTTAGACGGCTCACCGCGGGTCATCCCATGCTGTGACTGCCTATGTCGAGTGAGACTGTTGGAGTAGGCAAATGCTTTCCCACATACCTCACAGCAGAAGAGCTTTTCACCCCCGCCTTCATGAACCGTCTGGTGATGAGCAGTCAGGTGGAAGTGATGGCGGAAAGACTTCCAACATATAGCACAGGTGTAGAGCCGAGGCGGAGGTGGGGGCTGTGGTTGGGGTGGGGGGGGAGGCTGTGGCTGAGGGTTGGTGTCTTGAGGCTTGACATCTTGAGAGTGAGGGTAAGAGTAATAGGAGGAGGTGCTTGGTGCTTGGTTCTGGCTCCTGTCTTGGGCCACGCTACATTGAGGGTTTGGGTTAAAGCTGTTTAGGTTCTCCGCAGCTGGTGTTGTGGGCACCTCTTCCAGCTCCCCTTTCTGGTGGAGTTTGCTGTGCCTCCTGAGGCTCTGGGAGTAACCAAACTCTTTCCCACAGATGCTGCATTTGTAATTCTTTGCCCCAGAGTGGACTGTTTGATGCTTGCTAAGGTGAAAAGCCTCTCTGAAATACTTTCCACAGACAGTGCAGTGATGGGGCTTTTCTCCAGTATGGATGCGGTCATGCCTGCGTAGGGTCTCGCGACGTGCAAATCCCTTGCCACA